GTGGACAGTCACTAAAGCACATGCTCAAAATTTTGGTCATGTGGGATCGTTTTAAATGACTCAAGTTATGTCCCTTGAGACTAGCCTTAGCAGTATAAAGATTAGCATCCATGCGCGTCATATACTTACTACTGATGAATGCCTCAACACAACCCCAACTCAAAAACTCACTGACTGTCCCTTCAGACCCTTGTGCCAGACTAAATTGGCCTTATCCCACAGGGAAAGACTTGGTTCTGCCAGATGGTCAGTCCTGGAAGTGAATTATGCAACTCTAAACTCAGAACACTTCTAGGTTCATTATGTGAAAAACTAGGGTTTCATAATGTGGTTAACATTTCCTCTTTGAAGTCATTCAGTTGAAAAGAGTGAGATTCAAATTGTCTGGACAAAGACAAAGAAGGCAAAGAAAGTGATATCAAATAATTTTTATACTGTTGAAAATGAATGTCACATAGCCACAAACACAAACAGCTTTGAGCCATTGAGATGCCATTCTCTGATTGTGCCATGAATGATTTGTCACAGAAAACAAGACAAACGACAACCGTGCCCGTTACAAGCCCAGAAACCAGCTTCACAAAATGCACCATCAAACTGTGTCCGCGGTGCTTCCGTCTGCGTCTCATTCAGCTTTACATTCAACACTGTGCTGTGCCAAAAAATAGATGGCTGCTTCACTTACAGGAAATAGCCTACTGCCTGAGCGAGGCCTAACATGAAGCCTCTCAGGTTTGCTCATCAGGGGCGGGGCCGTGTGCTACCGATAAAAAGCCACTGTGAAGAGGAGCTGCAGGGAGTGATGACCGAAAAGAAGAGAGGACATCTGCGTCACGGCAATTGTAGTGTGGGACTTGGGGTCTTTAACCTTTCTTGTTCAAGGCACAATTTACATGGTCATAAATAGAAATGTGTAATTGCATATCTGTACTTCAGGATTTGAAGGGCTTGAAGAAGATTACATCTCTCTTCAAAGCTGTTTTCGGGGGCAGAAGAGCCCCTTGCTGATTTTTCTCTTTTTTTTTTGCCATTGACGGCCATTTTTTAAGAATGTAATTTGCATTTAAAGGCCAAACTCAATTCACCCCATCTCTGGTCCAGATGACGCCTCAGTCCTCGCTTGATTTGCCAGGCCAGTACACACATAGAAGGAATAAATATCTGCCAGTTGATGATATACACTCAAAGCATGACGTCATACTCCATGCTATCGTTTCATTATTGACAATACGATGTAAGTGCAGCTAGTTTCAAACTTTTTTTCTACATTGTCACAATGATGTATTTTACAACCTGAAAAGACCCAAATTGTGAAACTCTTTCAAATACATTTGACTTTTTCTTTCATTCCCTCTCATTTCAAAGACTTGGAAAGGCTTAGGCCAGAAGCTCAGACTTCAGCTGTCCCAACAAAAAGAAAACACAAGACCGCTGCTGGGTCCTGTACCATATCTTCTGACCGCTGGTGCTTTTCATTGCCTGAGATTGATCACTCCCATTCTGTTACTCTGGCATGAAGCAAGACGATGAGGTATGAACAGTTGTATAAATCTCTCTTTTTGGTTTCTATTTTGTGATTTTTGTTGTTTCTTTACTCGTTCCTATCTGTATGATGAGACTTACTCCATCAAGAGAATATTATTGTCACAACATTGAGATTAATATATGGCAGATTTATACATCACAAGACAGGCCCTGGTCTAAGGTCAGATTCATTTTGAGCGGTACAAAGGCTTATATCACGATTTAAGTGCTGTTTTTTAAACTGACCTAGATCAGAGCTAAGAGCGAAAGCCCAGCTAAGCAAGTGATACAGCCCAAGCAACTGTGGAGAGCAAGGTTTAGGCTCGTTCACCTTCAGTTTAGCTGAGAGGATAAAGGGTTCAGTTTCAGATTTTTTTGACCTCGGATACTTTGAATTATAGAAAACTGTGTAAAGTAATATTCTGTAAGAAAAGCTATAAACAGAAACAAGAAAAAAACTAATTCCCCTTTTCTGTTCCCACTAATCATCCTGAAAACTAAATGTTCCCCAAGTCTGAACTTTTATTAGATACAAAACTATGCCGAAGATCTTTTTAGTTCAGTCGTCATACTTTACACTTTATTGTATCGTATCGTATTCACTCGAAACATGCTTTTCAGATTAGCAGTAGCTCAAGCTAGCGAGATACGACAACTGAACTAAATACAACTAACTTATCAAAATAAAACATCCTGGTATTTTTTTACACACAGACATGTTTCGGTTAGCTAAACTGAAGGTGTTGTGAGCCCTCGCCTTAGGGTGACATTTGAGCACTAATTACCACTGCACCAACGATGGTCTGAAAGTGCATAAACAGCCATTTTCTCACAATAAAGCATCAACACAGAAAGACAGACATTCACTTACCAAGAAAATCAGATGCAAAGCAATAACAGCATAAAAGAATAATCATAAAAAACATCTTTTTTTCATCTATCCAAAAAGAGAGTCACCTCATTTCTTGCTTTACATCGTTCAAGGTTTTCTATCCTCATACCACAAATCTTTTAGAAACATACTATTTATAAAAAAAGGACTTATCAGTAGCAGTCTGTCACACGTTCAAGGTTTTAACCCCAACCTGCAAACTCATCCACCCTTGAATAAGCATAACAATAAAACACTTGGTGCACAACAAAAGCAACATCAACAACATCAAAAACAACATGAGTGTGACTTCACACCGTGTCTTTAATTGTACAATTTCAGTATTTTACATTCCACATGTGGACATATTCCTGCAGGGATTGTCGTCTTTCTCCACCGAAGAGTGCTAGTATGAGTTGGGGTAGGTTTCTGTGAGTGTGTGTGCGTGTGGGGAGAGGGGAGGAAAGTGCACACTAAGAGGACAGGGTGAAATAAATAGACAAAAGGGATCAGAGAGAAACCGGGAAGATGGCTGAGGGAACAGGAGCCAGGGGCAGGAAGAAATGGAGGTGAAAGGGAGGACAGGAAAAGAGATGTGAGGAAGGATGCAGTTGACTAACAGATGTTTTCCCTGGGTAAGTAATAAAAGTAGTAGACAGTTTATTTGTGAAAAGCAACTTGCAAGAGAGCTGAACTTCCTAAGAGTGGTTGTTGTAGTTTTTCTGCCCTGTTGCGGTGGCAGAGTTAAGCATCAAGTTCACATTTTATTTCGTAGTAAACGCAACGTAAAGGTTTATCTGTGAGACAGAGCGAGAGAATACACAAGTCTGTGGCCACTGCGCCGAAAGACTTCAGTTTTATGTCGTAGTGTCAAAAGTGATACAGGGTGGTGCAATTTCTGAGGCAACTGCTGGGCCTGAACTTTGCTGTTTTAGTCAGACAAAACTTGAAGAGAAAACACCTTTTTTTGTCATTCTTGTGGCTCTCTACACGGGAGATATCTGCACCTGGCTTTGCCTGTGAAATAGCCTCCTAGAGCACCACCCCGACTGTGTTCCCACCGGCAGAGCAAATCCACTTCTCCAGAATGAAATGATAGAAGTTTTTCTTTTTACTTCATGAGAGGACAGTGTAGCAAAGAATAAGCCTGGAAAGTACTCAGTGTCACTGCTTTGTTGCAGCACGTTGAATTGTGGCACACAAAAACCGTGTGCCTGGTTGCCTTGTCACTATGACAACCAAGGTCATATAAAAAGCGGATGAATTTACAGTCAGGCGCCGGAATGAGAAATTTTAGCACTGGTTAGATTTGCCTGTCGTGTGAACACAGCAGTACCACAGCTGGATGTGACGTCCAGGTCAAAATGGCTATTCCTGTGAGGAGGATGGTCACTGACTATTGGTCTGTCTCTCTGCTTATGCTGGTGCAACTGATCATGGCTGAAGGCAGTGTGCTCTGTGGTGCTGGTGTGGTATTTTCTTTAAGAGAACAGGGGAGGAATTCTCCAGTGATCATTTGGCTGATAGAGAGAGTGAGAAAGAGAGAGAGAGAGATAGAGAAGCAGAGAGAGAGAGAAGTGGAGAGAGAGAGAGCAAGAGAGAGAAAAAGAGAGAAAGAGAGAGAGCGGCTGTGCTGCTGCCAGCTTAAATCTAAATCTCAATTCACCGAGCTACACGGACCTGATTCCCGTAATGGGAAAAAAAGGAGAAGTAGTTCTGCTAAAGGTACTTCATGTGCTAGTGAAGTGGTTTAGAGGTATCAAAAAGGTGGGTATACTATGAAGGTTGGTTGGTGATCATCGCAAGGCAAACAAGCATCATAATGCAGTATGAGGTCAACTTGTAACAATGCTTCAATATAACTGTACAGATCTTAATACTGAGACCTGACCCCTCTGCTACATGAAGGGTCAGACAGATTCCTATTGAGATTTGAGCTGGCAGCAAAAAGTCAGTCGCTGATAGCTCTAATGCCACATACAATAACTGCAACATTTATATATATATTATCTATGTCTATAAATATATGCTTCTGTATACTGTATAATGTATTTTTGTATAACCACCTCTGTGAGGCACATTAGCATGTCAGGATTACTAAGCCAGTGGTTCCCTGTCTGAGCCATGACCTGGTTGCAGCATGGCTTTCATTCACAGTGAGCAAAGTACAAACACAGCAGGCCAGGGGACGGCGGGTGTGAAGCTGTACTGCTTGATCATCCTATTGCTGTGTGTGTGCTGCTGCTGTTGCTGAGTGTGTATGTTAATGCGTGTTATGTGTTTCCCTGTGTAATCAGCGCTTGTGGTTCTATTCAAATACCCTGCAACATAGATACGTAAGTATAATAACACTGAGAGGAGCGGCACCTAAAGGCCATGTCACAGTCCTTGTTGGTATCAACAGGTAATCGAGAGATGACAAAACGGACTGTGTGCGTTTCTGTGAGTGTGTGTATGTATGTGAGAGATATTTGTAACATTAAGACTGCTAAAGTCAGGTACAAACACAAAGATGTCAGGGCGGAGGGTCAAGGAAGGGGTACAGGGGGGTCTACTTAAGGATACAGACATTGTGGTTCTAGTGCAACAGAAAAAAACCTGATAGTTATTTGTAGTGGATGGCAATTTGGGTGTGGTTGATGGAGCTTATTCCAGCAGTGTGTAATTCATATTGTAAAACTGGGATAGGAAAGTCGCTCAGAATGTCTCTCAAATGGCTCGGTGTCCATTTCTGCTGCGACGGCGGAGGGGGGAAGGATCTGGAGATGTTCAAAAGGTGCGAGGGTCCGTTTTGATTTCGTGGCGGTTCATCGTAAGCTTGCTTTGAGTCACATCGCTCCCCACCACAGTTGCTTGCTCGCTGTTTTTTCCTTCCCCTCATTATGAAACCGTATCCACATGAGAATACTGCAAACACACCTGCTGTTTTATTCACCTCCCAGTCACCACCCACAGTAGTCCATTGTCCTGACTCAATCAGGCCAAAATGGCTTCTGCTGGAGTCAAAGCTTCCAGATGTCATTGTCCCCCTGACAGTTCCTGTAAGTTCAATCGGCACGCTGTAACGTCTCATATTCACCCCTGCCCTCATTGTCATTCCAGGTTCCTAAATGAAAAACAAATCCAGAGTTGCTGTTGGTCCCATGTGATGAGTGATCAAGATGAAAAAAAGGAGAAAATGACCAAGTTTTCCATGTTACTGTTGTATGATGATCCGTTGCCCGTTTCAGATACCTGCAGCACACTGTTGGAGGAGCAGCACTCCCATCGGGTCCGTGCTGGCAACTCACTGCTGCACTGTGTGTGTGTATTTATGTTTCCGTGCATGAATTTCAGTGTGTTGCAGACAGAGGGGCAGCTGCACTGAGATGAGAGGTGAGTGAGGTAGAATCTGTAGATTTCAGGCTGGACTTGAAACAGGTTAAGGGTGACAGCCGAGGCCTGCAGAGGTAAGTGAACGCATTGCCTCCCACCAACAACAACACCACCACCACTGCCACTGCCACTGCCATCTGCCAGTGCTGAACCTATCACAAAACAGCCAGGAGGTGAGGAGGCGGGGCTATGGTGTGAACAACAGGGCGGGGTTCCAATGAGGAGAAGCGCTCATGTACACGCATGGAGCCCGGTAGTGTGGTGCAGCCCGGTGGTTACGTACGGAGGAACAAAAATACTGAGGTATAACTTCAAAAACAACTGAATGGGTATGTACTCGTGTGTGTGTGTGTGTGTGTATGAGAGAGGTAATGGAAACAAGAGGTACGTGTCAGAGAGGTATTCTAGTAACAATAACTATGTATACAGTATATATACATACATATTGCGAATATATATAAATACTGTATTTAGGTATGTGATTTGTTAGTGAAAATAAGTAGCATGAAGCGGTTTTTCAAGTCATGCTGCAACAGGTGTTAAGATTTGTACAACTATTTTGCCAGCTGCAAACATAGTCTTCCTGGTGCTAGCTTATAAGTCTGTTACTGTAACTGCTTAATCTTGTTAAAATTTAGGTTTTCGCTTTGTTCAAGACATCTAGTTAGATCTACGATATGCTTAGCTGTAAACGACTGCATTAATTTGAATCACAGGATGAGTATTAACCTTGAAACTAAACGTCAATACCCTCTTTCATGTAGCAAACAATGAGTCTTTCATCGAGGGTCGCTACAGATCTTCCAAGAAAGTACATTCCCAACGTTTTATAGAGCACTTCAGTCAAAGCTCTATTATCTAAATATGTTCATGGTCTTTTAAGTGGTGCATTATTTATCAATTTGGTGTATATTTTTTTATCACTAAACAGATTAGGGCTTCATATGAAGTACTTCCACTGTAACAGAGAGGGTAATTGAGGACATTATGGCTCCATGTTTTCCCACTAGATATAACCACTACCCACATAATAAATGAAATACATTTCAAAGGTATGAGGTAAGAGGGTGTTTTAAACTGTATATATTATGTATGTATGTTTGTTTGCCTCTGTGTGCGTGTGTGTGTGAGACAGAGAGAGATAGAGGTCATTGTGTGAGGGAGGTAGGCTGACAAACGCTCGCAGGGCCCTCAGCAGGCTGAGAGTTGGGCTGCACGTGCAGATGGAGGAAGCCATCGTGGGTAAGGAGACGCATTGAAGATGGGTGTGTGTGGTGGGGAAAAGGGAGGGTCAGGGGTCGTCTGAGGAGCTAATGGTCAGGTCCCAGAGATTTTGAGAGGTGAGAAGTGGATATAGGGGGAGCAGAAAAACACCAAGCCCCTCAGTAGTTTGCATTAGTGTAGGACCAGAGAACTGCTGTCCTTCCAGGTGAGAGAGGGGATTATTATGGAGGGTTATGTTTGCATATAGAGAGAGTGAATCGTCATGGCAGTGTGTCTGGAGTTTGAGCCTGTGAATATCTGATAGTGTTTACCACTATGTGTGTGTACTGTGTACCTCTCAGCATGACAAAAAGAAAAGCGGTTTTGTCTGTGTGTTTTCCTCTGTTGATGTCAGTGTGTGTTTGCTGGTGGCAGGTGGAGGGTCTTGTCGGTGTTTGAAAGAAAAAAAAAAAAGACAGGAAAACAAAAAGTTTTTTTCCCCCAGCTTCTCTTAAAAAAACAAAAAACACCCCAAGTTTCTTTCATTCTGTGATGAGTCTTTTCTCAAAGGGGGGGTTGCCACGGTATCTTCATTCACACATCCTGGTCCTCAAAGACCTCCAGGAAGAGCGGGGGAAAGAGTTCGTTGGGACACTCCACCTTCATATGGAGGAAGCGGCTGGCGTGGCAAGCTCCGATCATGCGCAGGTCTGTCACCTTCATCAGCAGCTTAGGCCAGAAGTGGGGAATGTTGTGCTTGCGGTAGTTGATGTAGTGCTCGAAGGCTAGCAGGTAGGCCTCTTGGCACTGCTCGATCTTCTCCACGCTGGTCAGTCCTGAACGATCTGGAGAAAAAAAAGAAAGATAGACTCAGTTTTTCCTCATATAGATCCTCATTTTTTGAGGTTTAAGATATTAAAAAATATCCTTAGAAAGTGAACAGTCTTTAAAACTGTGTTGCTGCTTTCTGGGAATTCCTCCTAAACGATACAAAACAGTCAAGACAGTGATGGTGTTTTATTAAAATTGAGCCACTGAAATCACTCTGAGGGTATGACACTGGTATAAAGAAAAGACACATTTTATAAATTGTATGAACCAGCAAAGTGTTCTGAACTTAGAAACAGCCCAGCCTTCACTCTTTGTATTATTCATGAGTCAGTTATTAAATATTTCAGTCTGTTTTTGCCGGTATCTTTCTTTCCAAGCTGGAGCAAAATGCTGCTTACAGTAAAGACGACAGGTGTGAATCAGAGAAACAAAACTGAAAAAGGTATAACAGGAAAGATTTCACAAGAAACCAGACAAGAAAACAAAGGCCATTGACAAATCATCGTCTCTTCTGAAAGTCCAAACATTCAAAATGTAAAAAACACTCCTCACCAGAGCTCATGAGCAGCACCGCCTGCATCAGAGCAACCTCTGTGTCATCCAGGTTAAACTGAGCCAAGCTCTTTCCCAAATCGAAGATGGCATCTGATACCACGCCCAACCCGCCGTTCTTCAGCTGCTCACGTTTTACAGCCATCTCGCCGTTGAGCGTCAGTGTTTCGCTTTCTGGATCGTAGCGTACAGCGGCGCGCAGCGACATGATCTCCATGCAGCAACCTTTCAGCAAGATGATCTGGTCTTCACAAGGCAGCTTTGAAACAAAAAAACAACAACAAATTTGGTCACCGAATAAAAGTGGGAGTAGACGTTAATAATCAAAGAGTTGTAGAGTGACTGAAATGAATAGTTCAAACAGTTCTAATGTTTTATAATTAAAATCCATAATCTTTAACATTTGTAAAAAATAAACAAAAAGAGTCATACTTTAAAAAAAACACAGCTTATTAGTTATGACATTTAATATTAAACACAGCTTAGTTGGGCGCCAAACACAGAATCACAGAGTCTGTCAGAAAACAATGGAGGATCAAGAGGCCAGAGTTTCCTGCCAAACAACCTTTAGCAGTTTAAAGTAATGATTTTCCAATGTTACATTTAGTGCTTGTTTCTGCTGCCTACGAACAAAAACATACACAAAAGATATCAATTGATCCATCCATTGATGAAAGTTTTGAGGGTATGTTGAAATAATCCTCACAAACAAGTAAAAAAATTGAACGATTTTGAGCAATGTGTGTATAATGTTGGGGGGGGGGCTTAACGCCAGGCTCTGCACTTTCCCCCTTAACCTTACTAAACATTTGAATACCTATAGCTTATTGTTTGCATTTGCTTTATCTACAGCACCCTCTGTGAAAAAGATCTAAAGTCCACTGAAATCGAATAACTGGTGGACAAAGTCAGGGACTAGCTTGGGAGGAATGTGCAGAGTGTTTGACATTCCTGTGTTTTACTGAAACCTGGTTGAATTAAAACGACTCAGACTCCAGTGTAGATCTACCTGGCTTCACTCTCATATGGTCGGGCAGAGATGCAAAAGCTAGTGGCAAGAAGAAAGGAGGAGGTCTGGCTTAATTTGTTAACCAGAGATGGTGTAACTCTCCACACATAACTGTCAAGGAGAAGTTGTGTTGTCCAGATATTGAACTGTTCGGCCATATTATATTCCAAGGGATTTCAGTCATTTCATATCCCAAGGCAAATGCTGAAGTTTAGCGTGTTGTTCTCCATGAAACAGTTGCTAGGATACAGACTCAAACTGGTGAAAAAGGCTGGCTCTGTGGTTGGAATCAAGTTGGTCTGAGTGGAAGATGTGGTGGAAGGTGGAGGCTGTTCTAAAAAACACAGATCATCCACTTCATAACACCTTGATGGTGGATGGCTGCGCTCTTTTCGCTTTAGGACTGAAAGATTTGAATGATCTTTTGCACCCACAGCCATCAGACTTCATAATTCTTCTATAAATAGTAGAAAATTCAAGACAAACAAATCTCCCCCTGGGTATCAATATAGTTCTCGTATTGTTTTGTTTTGTATTGTATTGCTTACTAAATAGCCCAATGAAGTCACTGAATGTTACTCTAACCCTGACCTGAGAGTAGACTTTTCCAAATCCTTTTTGCAGTATTCATGAACATAATCTGATAAAATGATATTATTTGTAGTTCAGTGTTCTGGACATAGAGTCCTACTGGAGGACCTTGTTAGGTAATTTGTTCAAATGTACTCATAGATGACTGTGCTAATTCACAGCAACACTGCTTCATGCTGTTAACAAAGGCAGAAAAGAACAGACAAAGAAGCACTCAGTCTTTAGATGGTACAGTAGGCTGTGGTATTGTAGCTTTTTTACACCCCGGCAGAGTTCATTTGTAATGCTTCCTCCAGGAGAATGGGTTTCATAGAAAATCCCCTGCTATTGGTTATGAAACTGGGAATCCACTACAATATACATGACCTGGTACAAGCATGCAGGCAGCTTCTGTAGACAGCAGAGTGGTATCTCTGAGCGGTGAGTCATCACATTATCCTGAGAGACAGGCCATGGTGGGAGGATGGTGGAGGGGTTTCATTAATATTTGGTGTAAAAGCAGCTGAGGGAGGCTGTAGAAATGTATCCCTCGATGATGCTATGATTAAGAAAGAGGAAGCTCATCGCTGGTAGTAAAAGTCTAAAATAAGCTCTTCAAGGAGTCACAACTGAATGATCCGCCCTTGTTTACACATTCAGTGTAATGATTCAAACTCAAGATAAATATTGTGCATCTTGATCCCAATTACTGTTGAGCATAAGGTACACAACGAGATGGTTTTTATGTGGAAAAAGGAAGATAAATAAACAAGACTGTAAGGTGTGATTCAGGACACTTTGTGACTGCTTGTGAATCAGCTGATAAGTGCCGTCTGGAGATTGGTTTTGATTCTGAAAGTGGAGTTTGTTTTACTTGATAGAGCATGACATCAACCTCATCACACCAGGGTTAAAGTTTTAATCAGTTCGTTCATCCATTCATTATTCGCACACTAGTCTTCCTCGTGCTGAGACACTTGTGAAAGGCTTCTACTTGTTCACTTGATGGCTGCATGCCCGATGCATTGGCATATTTTACATACATGACTCGGGGATAAAGAGCCAGCTTTGTTCAGGGGGGATTTTGTCCTCGTGCTCAGCATGAGACAAAATATGTATGATCCAATTTTTTTTTTTCAGTGTCACATTAGAAGTACTCCAGTCCCTCTTTTGGTCTGTTTGCAGTCTGAGGAGTCTTGACAAACTATATATTTAACATAGAACTGTCTCTCTCCCACCCCCCAATCTATCTGATATTATACAGCAATGAGTTAATTTAATCTTATCAAATATCTGCATTTGAGAGAAAAAATATAAAATACAAATAGACATCAAGCTAAAGGTGTTGCCTCTAAACTTTAACTCTATTTTCGAGTCATTACAGTGCCGAGAGTCTGATTGTTCTTCATATTTTAGCGCACTGTTGCTATGATAGATCAGACCACCAGCAGCTGCAAAAACAGACCAGGGTTTCCTCAACATAGACTTTACTTGAGCGGTCTGCCTAAGAGGATTGAAACCCGCCCAAGAAGATGAAAATAGAATTTAAAAACAAAAACAAACAAAAAAAAAATGCAGTCATACAGACACACAGACAGTAGGGTTTACTCTCGGCAAATGTGGCGCAGCGCAAGACATGCTGGTTAATATACAGAAGCGAACCCAAACTGTTGTGCTCCGGCTTTCCGAAGTGGTAGCGATCGTCGAACAAACTAGGCGCAGTTAGTCCGGAACCATGTATGTGCAATATATTACGCATAGCTCATAAACCTTAGTTTGACTAGATTATTTTGAATGCACTTATCAAACACCACAGCGCTGCCCTGCACCGCCCGGCCCACCACCACACGTAAATTATCAACCTAGGGGAAACACTGCAAACTATCTGTAATCACACTGAAAAATCTGAACACTGTAAAAGATGGTGTGTTTAAGGACTTTCACACACCATCCCCCACAATCAAACTCATATACTATTGGGTTTTGCCTTGACTTGAGCAGTCCCTTCCACAACATCAAGAGGATAGATTATTAGAAAGTTGTTGTGAAATAACCTCCTCTTCAGGTCGGGGGCCCACTCACCCTTAGGGGGGGTTGATTCTGCTGTGACAACTTCTCACTATACGTGATCTCTCACTTCAGCTGCCGGCTAGACTCTACACAGAAAGCTGAACATTGATATAAAAAGAAAAAAACTTTTCCAGGATACAAAGTGACTTTACAGGAAACTCGATATCAGCCTCAGGAGGTGAGATTACACTCAGATGATAGTTGACGACTTTCAAAGGTTGTTAGGCTGAAAACTGTCACATATCTCATAGATAACACCGCACACTGCGCTGTTGTTGACATTAAAACTTTAGCTTACCACTACATGAAAGTTGTGGGCTTGTGTAAGGTCAACTTTGTAGCAGTCTGAACTATAACCTTATGTTCAAACTGTCAGGAACACAGTGGTGAAGCCGAGTTGAAGCTGAAAACACACTCACTCTAAACCTACCTCTGCGAACATGGGCAATTTCTTGGCAAAGTCCACGACGCGCGTAATGGCGGGGGTCATGATCTTGGTGAACTCACTGAAGGCTTCCAGGTCCACTTTGTCTCCTTCTGAAGTGGGCACAATGGGACCCTGGCCGATGTCATCCGGCTGAAAACAAGACATGGCAAATTGTGAGCAAAGAGCTGCACAGAGGTCAAACTTCAACAGATGATTATACGAGCAATGCTGCAAATTTTAATAACCATTTTACAATGCTTTAATTTTGGTGTTTCAGAAGAGTGTATCTTAGCTTTTTGGAGCTAATAGTGTTCATAATTAGGCCACCACACACCACAGCAGTTTAGCACGCAGGACTGAGCTCTATTATTCATTAAGGACTTTAGCTTGGTTTCATTTTTGAAAACAGGAAGCTCCGTAGAGGTCCTACACAAAGTCTTTAAAACTCTTGATACGTGCAGTTGTGACCTGAAAAACCTGTTTTTTCCTGTTCCACATGATCACAGCCAGGCGAAAGCACAAACACAGCCCCCCCCGTCTGCCATTCTCGCTCTAAAATATAAATCTGTTCTGTTCTCCACGGCATACCTCTCCTAATTGGTCACCTCGGACTGAAAATTCCCCCGACCCTGAGAAACTTTTCAGCAGCCTTCAGAAAATCTCTATACCTGTCCTCAGGGACTGGTTGCTTGGTAACTGTCATCTGACGTTTGCTTAAGGTCTGTGGTGAACACACTTTGGTGTGCATGTAGCTGTGACCACATGGTTCAGCACGAATTAAGCAGGATGAAAAGGAGTGCTGTTCAAGCAGACAGTGTGTAAATGAAGTCACTTCTTATGATGTGATCAGTTGACTTTCTTAGGAGCGACTTGTAACACTCAGGCAGGCAGAAAAGCAACAGCACAACAATAAAACTGGAGGAACTTAAAAACATGATGGATCCTGGGCCAGATCTAATGTTCATTACAATCCAGATTATGCCTGGTATTATTTTAAACCCAACATTTGCCACCAGAGTTGTGGGATATCTATTTATTGAATGTCTCCTTCATCACTGTGTTTGCTCTATTCTGTCTCTTTAAAGTTGTTTCTTGATTTTTCATGTATTTAGAGGCTCGCTTAGAGACAGCCATTGCAGATAAGCTCAGGCTATAAATGCAGTAGGAGTTAACCTGCCTGTTCCTTTTAGGGATGCACCGATCCGATATTTGGATCTGATATCGGCTACAATATTGTCAAGTTAGCTGGATTGGATATCTGATGAATGATGTCGATCCAGCTTTCCGATTCTGGCTTTTTTAAAAAAAAATTAATATCAAAACAACAACACAGAGATACTGTTTGCGCTATATTCTATGTCTGTCTATTCTTTAGCACTAAATGGACATGGAAGTCTTACTTCTTTTTGCTGTGTGCTAATGTGCAAAAACAAAAACAAAAACATTTAGTTATAGTGTTTAAGTTAAGTTAAATGAGATCAGTAACAGAGGGGTAAGACCAGACAAGTCTTTGACTTCTTACCCCTTTTTTGGACATGTGGATACTCTGGTTTTGTTTTTGTTCTTATTTTGTTGTGATAAGTGAGATTGATGTGCTTCTAAGTGAGGCACTTATTTTATTTTATTCTTAACTGTTGTTTTGTGTTGTTTTTTTTATATACATTTTTTTTAACCATGTCCAGAAAGAAAGAAAGAAAGAAAGAAAGAATTTGTTATTTGTTAATATTAATAATATTGCTAATTATTGCTAATGCTAATGTCAAGCCTGATGGCCTCACTCACCGGCCGATGTATTCAGTTCATTCATTCAACAGTAGTATTGGATTGGATTGGCTGATGCGCTCAACCCAGGTATTGGTATCGGATTGGATTGGAAAAAAATGGATAACAAATAAACATTTAATAACTAAATGAAAGGTGTCTCTTTTCTCTTTTCTACAAAGAGTTGGCCACTTCAGTGCAGTCTAGCATTATGGGTTGAACTTCCCTGCCATCTGTCAGAAATGTTAACTAGGAAGCGCCCTGAAGGAAAAAAAAAAACCCACAGCTAAAGACTTTGTTTTTGTCACTCTGGATCATTACAGCCTAACAGCCGCCTGCCCAAAGACTGTCAATTCAATACTGAAAGCTCACCAAGAACTTGCGCTTCTGCTTCCAGCTGGAGCCTTGGGCGTTAGTGTGCCGGTGGGCCTCTGTTGCCATCCTGATCAGCTCCCACTCTGAGGTTGTTGGCTCCGGCTTGGTTTTCAGCGTCTTAACGAGCTCTTCCCTCTTCCTCTTCAGTCGATTCTCCTCAATGAGACGCCGCTTAGCCACGCGCTTTGATTCATCCAGAACCACTGAAGGGCGAGACGGGGTGACAGAGAACATGGTGATAAACTGAAGTAATTTGACAGCGGAGGTTTCATCAACAACTGTAACTCCTTCTCTTGTTTTTCTTTTTAGTCAAATGACTTTTTTCGGGGTGTCTTTGTCTGCTGAGAAGAAAATATTGAAAACTTGAGTCAGTTAATGTTTTTATGTTGCTCTCCTAATTACAAGACTCCTGGTTTGCGGCATGATCACAGCTACATTAGGTTTTACTGAATGACAGAGGGTAATTCAAACTATAATTATGAATATCATGTGGCCCTCTGGCTCTGTGGACTCATAGAGCATTGTGACTGGCATGGTTAAAATCAAAGTGGAAAAAAACAACTTCAAAAATGAAGGAAAACTATTTGGCACATTGACTGCTATTATTTTTCTAGGTTTGCTCTGATTCTACAGTGGCTCATCCAGTAGTACATTTTGTCCATTTCCACTGGTACTGTGAGGATGACTCATTCCCTGCACGCTTCTAATCGCAGAGCCCTGCTGTCTGTGCACTTGAATGCTACACTCTGCTTCACACACATTTTAATTCACTGCAAATTGGAACACTTGACCCTCTCATTTCCTGAACTGAAATGGACAATCGATGTGACTTGGTTTTGAATTCAGTCGTGACGTGCCGACAGAAAAACAGACGAATTTATCGGGAACATTTCTAGATGTTCAACAGTGTTGGCACTGAAGCTTTGTGACCTTCAAAAAACATCCAGTGAGATACAGACAGGAAGCCGGGGGGAAATGTCAGATGATATCCAGAGTAAGAAGAGGATATGAAAAGGATTTATTCGAGTAAGAAAATTCACTGAATGTTAATAAAAGAGCTGGAACCATGTCACAAGATTGTCGGGATACATGATCCTGTTTACATTTGTTAACAGCCTCCTCTGCAATAAAATACAACAGCAAATTTTGAAATTCAGTGAAAATGAAATTCAAGCTGTCAATCCTGGACATCTTTCTGTACCACAGCTGCAACTGTTTAATTCAACTAAAAAAAAACAGTCACACTTTATTTCACGCCTGTCTCTGTAACGCGTTTTAAATTTATGGATAATGCATTATGATCATGTTATAGCACTGTATAACTATAGTTACACAACTCACTGACAATGCCCACATAGATAATGCAATGCAACTGTTGTTAACAGTTATAACACATTATAATACCTGACCTTGTTAGTCATGATAAAATGCTTTATAATGTGTTATGATTATTGCTATAAAGCATTATAATCATTTATGTGTGTTTATATCTATAGTTATACAGTGCTATAACATGATTATAACGCATTATACATACATTTATAATGCGTTATAGAGATAGACATCAAATAAAGTGTTACCAAAAAAACTATTTTGTGAAACTATCTGATTTTAGTGAGGATAAGTGTGTACGTGTGCAAGAACAATAGTCAGCAAGTAAGACAGATTTGGTTCTACATTGATATGCAGTGATTTAATAACAGCCAGCACGGTCCTCTAGCCTATGTTTTTGACACTAAAGTGCCACAGGGGCTGCAGATACTGAGCTTTGTTTGTCACAGTGTACACCCTGGGAAACCCACAGGGAAAGAAGTGAACATGGTTATGTATGAATTTTTATGGCAGCGGCTGAAAGAGTAAAAATGAGCTCATTATAACTCACAGTCCATGGCCATGCCCACAGAGATGCACTTCTTAAAGCGGCACAGCTGGCACTGGTTGCGGGTGATCTTGTCAATGACGCAGCAGCCTTCATATTTACAGGAGTAAGACGGGTGGAGGTTTTTCTGGATGGTCCTGCGAAAGAAGCCCTAAAGGGAGTAAGAGAAAGTGCAAGATTAAAAACGGCAGGGGTAGGAACGGAAAATATGGGAACAACTGAGCAGAATTGAGGGCCTAGGGGACCAAGGTAGCGACATATCTTTAACATGATCGCCACAGATGAAGCCTTCTTATGTCTGATTAGCTTAAAACAAGTGTGGGGAATATTAAAGCGAAGGCTACTGATTGCATGAGAAAATCCTGCTCTGCCCAGAGTGGCTAAGAAATGAAGTGATGCATGACTGCACATCTCTCAGTGACCACTTTTGTGCAGAGAGTAGATGCTGCAGTCTGATGAGTACACCTCAGAGGACTGTTTACAAGCACGTGACTTTAAGCAGAGAAGTACCAGAGAGCTTTCATGCACATTCAAATGAAGTGAAAAGGAGAACAAAAGAAAACCTCTGCTTACAAAACGGTCAATCAGCAATCAGTGCGGCTACTATCAATCAAAAAAAAAAACCAGGATGAGACTTGAAGAGCGAAACAAACCAAACCATGTATCTGTTTTTTTGTTTTCAACATCTCTCTGGCATTTCACTGTGGCTTACTTCCTGTGTGAAGATAGCACGAACACAGCTGAGGCCGTTTTTAGAAACCATCTAGGGGTTTCGCTACAGGACACCAATCACAAGATAATCAACCTCCGCTTAACCAGCGTCATGAGGCATCCAAGCAAGTCACCACCGTTCACCACCAAATCCTTTCTTAAAAGGAGGAAGTTCAAGCTAACCAAACCCAGATTTTGTTTTTCTTATTTGGATTTGTAGACAGAAACACTGCAGAGTTTAAGCTTTAAGCTTTATTTATCCAGAGAAGACGGCTGATAGTTGGAGAGGAAAAACAGTTCCCTTAATATTGAGGTAGCTGTTTGCTTCTGTATATGGATGTGAGTATTTCAGTAAAGACTCTGAATGTGAGCTTTTGAGTCGGATCAGGGTTTTGTGCTAGGGGTGGGAGAAACAAATCAATACAGCATAGTATCGCGATATTTTGTCTGGTAATATATTGTCTTGTCTCATTAACCAAGTATTGATTTTTTCGGATAAATTGCTAATATGAAGTCAAATCTATAATAATGGAAAAATAAAATCAACTGTTTGTCCAGTGAGGTTGGAAGAGGTGACATCGTGGAGCAGGAGAAAGTTAGTACAACAAATATATGTGCTGCATGAAAATAAAATTCTCTGTAAATAAGACGAACATAAAGGAAAGACAAATGCTAAATTAGCTAAACAGTTGAAAAAATATATGCATCGCAATATATTGTATTACAATACTCACTGTATTGCAAAATGTTAAGAATCGCAATAATGTTGTATTGTGGCCCAAGTATCGTGATAATATCGTACAACGACACACATCAACTATACATAGGGGCACTGGAGGTGACTTAAAGATACGTTTAAACTCTGTTTTCTCAACTTTCAAGATTCAGATCTCATGTTTGGAAACAGTGGGTTTGTGCCGCGTGTTACAAAGTGTACAGGAACTCTCTGACCTTAAAACCTTTAACAAATCAACAACAGGTCTAATTAAATAAAGCTTGATCCAAATCAACTAATTCCACTTCGGTGAGTACAAAAGGCTGTGTGAGGGGCCATTAATCAGTTAATTAAACCAGGAAATTCAAGTTAGCTACACTAATACCTTACATTCACTGAGTTCACCCTCCACATTCACAATCTTATTAAGTCACTGCCTCTGCTAACGGTTCAACCTTTCACTGACTGGTTAGTGAAGGGTTTCTTTTTCTGGCTGCTGTTAATCGTCATGACAGACCAGGACTGAGTCAGAGTCCAGAGTGTAATCCGGATCTACATACTGAACGGGTTTCTCTGAACAACCTGCTCCACGTTAACCAGCTTATCGATCAAAAGTTCCTCTTCTGATCGTCAGTATTTAAAAGCCTCAGCAGGGAAACAGCTGCGGCTCAAAGGTGGAGGATACTTTCTAGCTGCAAGATTTTCTCTCCGCTGACATGAGCTGACATCCTTATGCTTGGTAAAGACATCACTCGGACTTCAAACATTTGTAGTGAGTGTTGAACCTTTCATCCTTTTATTGGAGACTTCAAACTCTTCAAATTTGTTGTACTAGCTTGTATTACATAATTTGTTAAGATGTACAAAATGAAAAGTACTGTGCACATTACAGTTGCCAGGCGATCACAAGACAGTCAGTGTTCACGGGTGTAGGGAGAAGATAATATTCCGTACCTTGCAGCCCTCGCAGGTGATGCAGCGGTAGTGGTAGCCAGTCGCCTTGTCCCCACACACCACGCAAGGCTCATCCTTCTCCAGGTAGCTGGGGATGTACCCTGGAACAGAGACACTAAGAGCTATAGGAGAGGAGGAGGAGGTTGAGAAGGAAGACAGGGTGGAATGAGAGAAGGGCGAACAATGAGTGCAAGTGAGGGAGGTCGGGTGGATAGTGAGGGGAAGGGGCGATGGGGTGAGGGGGAGAATTTGGGCAAAAAGGAGGAGGAGAGGAGAGGAGGGGGAGGTTCTGAGTGTTATCACAGGGGCCGTAATGAAGCACCTGTGCATGGGGCCCCTTGAGACTGACACAGAGTGATGTATTCACGTTGCACACAGAAACATGATATCATGCCAGCTTATGAAGTCAATACTCTAAATCCCAGAATTCATCAGGTCAAGGTAAGGGGTGAAGTTTCCTTTTGCTTACTGATCATTTCAACTCACATCTCATCTCTAAGCTGTCATTTTGTTGCAGAGGATGTTTTATTTTTTTAAATAAAGTCACGCATTTGTACACTTGAAGCCACGACACAAATAACTGAACCATCTATTCACAGTTATTTAAAGTCCCACAAACACACATGTGCTTTGGTGATGAAAAAGTCCACCGGAGGAGATTTAATCAGGTCTCATTTCACTAAAGCCTGAAGGAAAGGAAATCCCTTGTGCTGGGCTAAACTTCAACAATTGTTAACACAAACAAATATTATAAAAGATGAAGACATCTGCAACCTTTATCTGCATTATAAAACCTTTAGACATGTTTGTACCACTCATTTAGGAAGTCCAATCCCCCTGCTGTTTGTTCTTCAAAACATTCTTCAGTAAAATGATCAGAACTTTGATCTTTTACGATCGAATCACACACTCTTAATCACACTGATATCATTTGATCTGCTGCATAATACCTCAGTGAATGTTGGTAGGAATTAAACCTTGGCTACAGCCTGCCTGCCTGCATTGTGTTGAAACATACAAACAAAACAGGGTTGTATAACAGGGCTAATTAGTTACAAAGCTGTCTCTGTCATTCAAATATGATTATTCTGAGCCTGGAAAGAAACTGAACATTGAGTTTCATTGGTGATTGTAACCACATGAATACAACTGATGATTTTTCCCATCATGATTAGGATAGCCTTAAATTGTGTCTAAGCCACATCATTACTTCTAGTGCAAGTTAAGCTGTAACCTGGCTGTATGAAATACTTCTTAAGAAGAATTGAAAGCAGGATCAGTTTGTACATTTGCGACATTAACTTCATTTCTGTTTCAAACGATGTCAAATGCAAAACCACTGAGAAAGAGAGCTGAACGAGGACAGCTTAGTCAATTCAGTTATTCCTACTAAAATCACATTCACTTTGTGTTTTCTTTGTTATATTTCACTATAAATAAATCAGGCTCATACTTTAACATCAATGGGAATTGTTGAAGTGTTCATTATGTCTCTACACCTGCATACTAAAAAGGTTAATGGTGATAGATTGAGGCGTTGTGCAAATCTAGACAACACTGAGGAGCAGGACTCTTTCAATACATGACCTTAAACTCTCTTTGTTAAAGTTAATAGACACGTGAAAGTTGAGAAAAATGAACGCGTCTTCTTTGGTGGTTCAATAATACAGTATTCAAAAACTCGAGTCCAACCTACAGCTGCACTCAAACACATCTCTTCGGCTTAGGCCATGCCAACCCAGGTGAGCTAATCTCTGCTCAACAAAGCCTCTGCATGAAAGTCATATAAAAGAAGGAGAGGGAGATTATCATAGAAATGAGACATCATGCAAAGCTGTGGGGAGCCAGCCATGGAGTGTTGACCACACAGAACATCGACTGAATCTATCAGCGCATAATAAGATGTGTCTTTTGTATATTTGTGTTCACTTGTTTGTTTGCAGACAGCAGCTACACAAAGGGATGAAGCAGAAGAGGATAAATCCTTACCAGACATGCTCTTCACCGAACACTGGCTGTTCTTGCTCTTTCTCTTGGGCACATCTGGCCACCTAGGAGGAGGGACAGGAAGGTGGTAGGGGGGAGAGAGAAAAATATGAAAGTGTGAAAAAGACTGGTCGCATCCTCACATTGTGCAAAAAACATAATCTTGTTTGTAAAATTGGAGAAATCTGCACACTTCAGAGGGAGGAAACAGAGGGTAGGTCCAATTTTTAAGAATTCCCATTTCCTGTACCATTTTCTCACTTTTATTGTGCCGACACCCACACGCCTCTACTTTGAAGTGGGTGTTGTTGTATTTGGAGGAGAGTCAAGGACAGGCAAAGACCCTTGTAAGGGAGGCAGAAACGCCTCAAAGTGCAGAGAAACACTCTGATTCCTCCAAAGATACATACTGAGCAACTGAGCCCTCTCACTCAACCAAACACCAAATTTAAAAAGTGTCACTTTTCTGTCACAAAAGTAAAAAAAAATAATACTAATGACAACAATTTACAGAACGAATTGTTGAGTCCACTGCTGGTATTACCTCTGGTCATGCACCTGACCTGAATTTCAGAGCACTTTCACCAGCACTGACACATTAAAAAATCATCATTCCCTAAAGGCTGAGACTGTTCAGTTTGTTTACAATGCTCTGCATGCTTTTCATTTGTTGTCAGTCATTGACAGATTTTATGAATTAAGTATCAAAACAATGGATTAGCACCTAGACATGGAAACAGGTCTTGATAGTTTCTCCCCTTTTGTCTTTCCTGATTTTGATTGGTCCCAGGAAAGAAAGTGACACTGCAAAGGGGAGGGCTCTAAAAGTGAAACTATTATGAGCGAAGGGCGCTGTAACCACCTGATGTGGATGGGACACTGGGTGCTGAAAGTGCTGGACTTCATCTGTTTTGTGTAAAAACTGGGTTTACTAGCAGCCTTTTTTTTTTTTTGCTGTTAGTGGACACCGGCCCTAATGAACAGAGACAATGCTTTTTACAGATATAAGTTGCAGAAAATCTCCAACTGACTAAAATGATAAAATTGAGAATTTGTAGGTTCCTTTAAAAGAGATCCCACAATATCAATGAATGTTGGATATCACAGTAAAGACCTAGAATATTGCATTATTACTCAAAGGTCAATTGCTCATCCATACAAAAATCTCTTGTTTTGGACATATTTATGTGAATTTTTTAGATAATTTGTTTTTATTTATTTTTCAGCATATCAAATGTCTTACAAAGAAAAAACAAACTCAAAATTCTGAGATGTTTTACATTTTGCTCCAACTACTCAACCGAACCCAACCCTCAGTCCTATCCTTTTTTAGGAGTGACCTGGACTGGGTTGTGACCCCTAAAGTGCCGAGCTTCAACAGAGACGGATTAAAATCTCAATTAAAGAAATGGGACAACACGGACATCAGATTGTGGGTGTCAAATACGCATCATGGAAATGACTAGAATGAAATGACTAGAATGCTGTTCATCATTAATTGCCAAAAGCTTCAGTGAATTACTTTTGGTCATTTTTCGTCTCACTTACATTTTTTTGCACTAATGCCACCCTGAACAGTTCACACTGACAGTTCAAACAAGAACCTGTGAGATCCTCATTTCACACACCCTCACTACTCCCAGCTGAACCAGAATTTATATAAAAGACTAGCAAAGTTTCAGCTAACTCATTACTTTTCCAACTCAGCAACCACCATGAGCCTTTGCTGAACAGTCGCTAATTTGAACTAAGAAACTGCCCACTCTTAACAAAAGAGTGTTGGAGACATTACTGGCCGGTATGTGACTAACTTACTGGAGTTTGACAACAATACAAAAAACAACAAGCAAATAGAAATGTGCAATCCTACGAGGAAACAGAGGGAAAACTGCGTGGCTTAAAATCAGTCGCTCTGTCATTTTTCTGTTCTTCTCTCTCTCTCAACCTTTATGCGTTCACGTGATTTTATTTATGTGCTGAAAAGCCTTTTTTGTGCAATGAAAGGTCTGTTCAACAGATGAAACCTTTAATTCAAAGGCACGTGTCAGGACTGCACATACAAACCAGGGTATATATGATTCCCTCTCTCATTTCCCTCACATATTTCTTGGAATAATTCTCTCTTTTTTTCTCTGTCCTCCCTCACATGGGATGGAGTTTGCATTTGCTTCTGGCAGCAGATTTGGATTACATCCTCTCTTCTCTATCCCCAAGTCTGACTGTTTGCCTCAGACCCCTCCCGCTCCCCTTTAACCCTCTCCCCTCTATAAAATATTTCTCTCTGTCCCTCCCACTCTGGCCTCCCCTGGGCATTGCTCTCTGCCTGCTTCCTTGACTTCCCTTCTTTCCTCACTGTAATTTCTGTCTTTTCTTCTCCTCTTCACCACATCTCTCTCCTCTGGTCCTTCAAACTTCCATCAGCAGTATTAGGTAATCTAGCTTCTCCACCATACTTCCACCCTCTCTCTAACCCCATGCCTCTCCCTGGCTGTCAAATCTACTTTCCTCTTCAAGACCAAAAAAAAAAAAAAAGGAAAAAAAAAAAAAAATCTCTGACGTCTCATGCTCTGTTCTTGCTGCTCTTCACGGTCCAGCTAACTTATTAATTTTATTGCTGTGTGCACATGGTCAGGCAGTAACGCTGTGGGAAACTGTCTCCTCTGGTTGTTGATCATGAGGTGAGCTTCCTTAACGTCAAAATGATTCTGCACCTTTAAAAAATGTATTAATCTTCTACACTATAACCTTATCAAGCTAAATAACTTTGTCTTTTGGCCATTTCTGCAGAGACACCACTGTTTAGAGCCATGAGTAAAACAGAATTAGGAGAAAGAACCATGAGGAACCATAAGACTATGATATTTACAGTTGGTTTACTGTTGTAAACACACACATGTAAACTCGTGACCCTCTATTTCAGCAACTTTCAGATTTCCTCTGTTAGCGTGAATAAGAACTGAAAGATCATAAGCTGAAATAAGAAGCGGGGGGATGGGATGACAACAGAGGCTTATTTGTTGAAGGGAAACCTAGCTGAATGTCAAACAGCTTTATATCATAACACCCTCTATCAACGTTGACTCCCAGTGGAGTCCACCACCCGGAAATCAACTACTGTTGAGCGTCTGCTCCATTCTTCCAAAACAGTCCAAACACACTGACCAAAATATGGAAGGAAATAATCTGTTTGAGGAATCAGATGCTGCGGGATACTTAAATAAGACAGATCACAGTGTGAAGGAGTCAAGGTGCACAAGGTCAGAGGAGGATGAGCTGAAAACTGTTGGTGCAGAAATGCCCATTGCTGGTGGTGCCACTGGAGTTGTAGTTGGTGTTCAAGGCATGTGAGATTGGCTGTTTCATAGGAAGAGCTTGAGACACACTCCAGTGGGAGCAGCATTAGAGGGCGATAAGCACAGTGTATTCTGGTTTCAGGAAAAGAGAAATCTCTAGCTTTACTCTCTTGTCACGTGTTCAAGATACACAAACAGTCTACAAACTAGAAAACGAATGTCAACGCGTCTTCACAATCATAACACAAGCAGACTAACAGCAGAAAGCCTTCTAACTGCCTGCAACATATAGATATTTCTGTCTTTATCTGTTGTTGACATGTGGTGTACCATACAGATATCAGCACATGGCACGTGGCTCCATCACAGCTAAACAGAGACGCATGAATTCACATGAAACACACACACACACCTGTTGATGCAGTATGGCTGTAATATATGCATGGTGCTCCTCTTTTCACCAGAACCAGAAGAGAAGAATAAAACCAGCAGCTTCTTCTGCTGTTCAAGAGTCCCAGTAGTCAAAAAGGGGTCAGTGAACAGGTCCCATTCGGGCGAAAACAAAACGCTGTTGCTCCAGTTAATGGGTCTGACAATAGTTGAAGAAGTGGTTCTTCTAGAGTACACGAATCAGAGTGTGGAGAGCTGCAGCTCCCGCCGGTTTGAAAACCCCAAACAGCAGGTCCTTAAATTCCTCACCACCAGCCTCACGGTGACCTGAGGGCTCTCGTCGATCACAGAGAAGTACAGTAGAGTCTGTCTCCTGCGTTCAAGGGGAGATATCTGAGGCTTTAAGCAGCCCTTTCTCTCTCTCTCACTCTCTCTCTCTCTCTGACTTGCTGCCGGCAGGAATGGTTACTCTGTTTATTTCCCTCTCTCCCCTCCCTCCCTCCCTCCTCTCCTCGCTGCTCTGGTCCAGCCTTCCCCCCGCCTCCTCCCAGTCAGTGTGTTTGCATGTGTAGAACCTCCCTCGGTGAGATTCTCGCTGTCTTCACCAAACAAAATTTTCATGTTTCGCCCCTCCTCTTGCTCTCTCTCTCACTCCCTGTGCTCACTTTTCTGTATTTTTTCTTCCTCCACCACATCGCCTGACTCCTCTTCCTCCTTCTGTCGCCCTCTCCCCATCTGTCACCTTTTGTGTTTTTGCATTATCACTCCTGTCACTTTCTCCTGACATGCCCTCTCTGTCTCTCTGTCTGATTTGCTCTTTTCATTTTTCCCCCCACAGGAGAAAAAAAAAAACATGTTGCCTCTCTGAATCCAAACTCATTTAAGCTTTAATGCTAACTTGATTACATAACAGCAGGCTGATGTGGTCCCCCCAGTACAGCAGAGTGAAGTCTTGTGAGGACAAAGGGATGCTTTTTTATCTCATCAGCAAAATCAAACTGCTCTATGGTTACATTTTGTACTATTTCTATTTAAGTCTTGATTTTTAAAGCCCTAGCCAAGGCTGAATAAGACATTGCTATTCGGAGCCCAGCTAAATAATTACTGATAGGGTTTATAAATCTGACACACAAAAAGATTTTCTCAAATCAAAGTATTCCAGTTGAATCAGGGCTGTGGCTAGAAGCTGTGCTTGATGCTAAGACTTCAGGTGGTGGGATTATATGAAAACTAAAAATACACAATTAGCATACAGAGTGCTAGCCTATTTTCCAATCCGGTTGCTCCTATGCTGCTGTTTTGGTAAAGCTTTGTCATTAATCAAATTTACCTCTTTCACATGTTTCAAATAAATGCAGACCATAAAAAACAGGGATTATATGCTTAAAGCTGCTGGCAGACGTCCAGCGTGACCTGACTGTCACGTCCTGATGGATTAGTGCTGTGGGAACAAACTTTGACCTTATCCAAGACAACAAGTACACACGAGGGAAGTTTTCAGCCAGACTGAGCAGCAACTGCAAACAGCTAATGAAGAAATCTGAACATATTTATGTGCAGCACTGGTATAAGCTATGAATGGGGATGCCAGTAGAGGGTATTTCATCTGAAACCAAAGTCAAAATTGATCAAACTTTTGAACCTACAACTGAAATAAACAAAGAAGAAAAAAACTCACATTCGTCTGCGGAAAATTATTAATGCCATTGCCATTTAGCAGAATAGCACTGTGGTGGTTACTAGCTGACAGTCATTGCAGCACAAATGGTACCTACACAATAAAAAACTTGAATTTTAACTAACCAACTTGAGAGGAAAGAAAACTCTCAGAAAACAGCCAAAGTTGAGCCAAGGACAGTCTGCAGGTGAACAACAAACAAGTTTTGCTGTTGGTGAATGTTAGCAGAGCTAGCACCACCAGCCTTCGGCCCACCATACAGATCAACGTTTGCAGACCTGTGCTGGTTACACACAGCAGAACCAAGGAGATAGCTGTATATACACCAGTTTAGTCTTACAATTGACTCACTACTTCCTCTCCTGTTTCTAGTACGCTAAACTGCGCTGCACTATGAGAAGCCAGCTTCATCTGTGCTGGTTTACACCCAGGTAGAGGAGCGCTATAGCATTATGGTTGTTGCCATTGACTGTAACTATGGAAGATGTCAACAACTATGGGTTTTTCTTTTTTATGCACTGTTATCTCATAAAAACAACTTATTATCTCGGTTTAACAAATATGTTTTCTCGTGATAATTTTTTTCCCCCCGTTATCTCAGCATAGCAAATACCATTTTCCCATGACGTATTATTTTGCCGACCTAAAACAGTAACTTTTAAAAACACCCTCCAGAGTGGAATATTTCTGAAACCCCACAGCCATCACTGTCACCAGCAAGCCGCCGTTTCAAAGAAAACACTGACGCATGTGGATTACACTTTCAACGTGGGAAAGTTTCCAAATAGGACAACAAAAGTAACAATGGCGGACACATTATACATTTATTCGTTATACTGAGATAATGATCTTTGCTTTATCCAGAAAATTAAAAAAAACTAAGTCTGGAGAAAATGAATTATAACTTTGTTACATCGAGATGATGAGATAATAAATCATTATCATGAGATAACCGTGCATAAAAAAAAAAAAAGAAAAATCCATGGCCATTCTCGTCTTCTGTATGTAACAACTACCTTAGCTAGTTTCAGATGACTGTGCTTTGGCTTTGATGGAAAATATGACTTGTATTTTAGGCCTATAGCAATAGAAATATAAAACTTTGTTAAAGGATAATTGATTCTACCATAGGCGACTGCATTTAATTGTTAAGTCAACTAAGCTTGCCTTTAGACTTGTCGGGCAGAGTTTAGATAAAAAGTTAGTGGCTGTGGAACATCCTTTACCCAAAAATTAGATGACATCCTCTCAAAAAGTGGTCCAAAAAATAAATTTTACTGAGACTAGAGCCTGACAGTCTCAGATAAGCTTATTCAATATAAAGGCCTGATTTTCCCTGCATGATTGGAATTAAGTAATACATTCTATCTCTCCTGACAATTTATTGAATCATTGATTTAAATTCTAATTAAATAAGCATTCAGAATTAGTTTAGCTGTGTCAGTGATACAAGGAAAGATGTGGGTGTCTGTACGTATAGACAGACCAATCCACTGGCATTTACAGGATACAAAACTCTACAAGGAAAAATGGAAAACTTTGCTTTAACTAGATTCCTTAATCTAATCAACTAAATTGGGTATAACTAAGTCCCATACAAGAGTTAGGGATTTCGTTGAAGAAGTTCATAACAGAATAAAACATAAATATTTGTCAGGAGCTTTTGAAACAGAAACCTCAGTGAAGAGCTAATGAACCATGTAGAGATTAAGAGGACTTACGTCTTGCTAGATGTTCAGGAAGATCCCAGAAGTAAAGGGGTGTAAATATCATATAAGTAGATATCATGACCACTAACGCAAGATCTACAGGACTTTTTAAAACCACCAGTCTGCTTTGAATCAGCGAGGATTTGTCCTGCTGTGGACTGTTCTAGTCTTGTCAGTAAATTAATGTGTGTTTTGGTAAACAAAACAATCTTGACATGAATTCAGCAGATCCTACAGCCAGATTGCTTCATCTGAGGTCTAGCCTGGAAGTTCTTTTACCGTCTATAGAATCTCAAGAGGCTTTGTTGTTATCAGATTGTCCTCACAGGATCCTGAGATGAGGTCGGTGTCGATGTTTGCACTGATGTAAAGTCAGTATTCTTAGAGCTAGTGAGAAAGCCGTCAGAAGGATCTCAATGGAACATTCAGAGACTCTGTTAGCCTGAGCCAAACTTCCTGAGCCGCCTCTAGAAGCAGTAATGAACTCACTGCTGTGTCATCTTAATCACATCTCCTGAGTGTAGATCCCTTTACAGGTTCTCTGTGTTTGCACACTGAGGAACTTAAAAGCTGGGGCTTTCTCTTTCTATGTCTGCTAATGGATGAACGCCGCCTGTAATCCCTCACCACCTGCCTGCGCCTCCCTTACTGGCGTTAGGGGACAGTCTTTCTGTCTGGCACTGCTGCAAAGGGTCTCTTTGTGTCTGTCCAATAAGCTGAGACACTTCCAAGCTAGTGAGATCAAGCCAGTGAATGCAGCGCTGTTTGTGAATTAAGGATCTGAGGGCCTGGGACAAGATCTTTTGGTGCTGAAAGCATGAGTGCAGGGACAATGAGAACACGAGGCAACAAAAACATGGGAGTGGTTCCTTTAAAAGCTGAACTTTTTTTTTTTTTTTTTTTACAGGGTACACATGCTCTGATGTGATTGACTCCTACACTTAAATTAAATGACATCCTGGTTTTACAATTAGCTGAGAAGAGGTCCTGCAGGGAACCGTGACACTGTTATGTCACACTCTGACATAAAGCCAAGAGTTGGTTTGTACTAAGCTGTAAGGTGCTTGGCTGTCTTTCAAGACCTGCAAGTAGGAGATCCTCTACAGATGACTAGTAGTATAAGTTGTGGCACGGTTGAAAATTTGCTCCAAGGTTGTGGCTCTCAGAGTTCTTGAAGGATAATCCATCTATCACCTGGACCAAGACTTTCTTCTCAGTGCATTGGGGCTGCATGAGTATAGCAAAAAATGAGGATCGCTGTAATTTGGACGTCTTGGCTCATAATGATGATTATCCATTAATTTAAGGAACAAATTTCTTTTATTGCACCTCCCTTTCTACCAATGTATAGGTTCACTAGCCAGTGGGAAAAGCCCCTCTTTGGGTTCCTGGAGAGTAACAGCATACTTAATTTCCACTGTCTTATCATAGACGTCAACACTTTTATCGAACCGAAGTGTATTAGTGAGTTCAACGACACAATTCTAGCAGTAAGTTGATTATTACAATAGAAAAAATGGCTTATTGTGCTTTTTGGTGTACTTTATACCCATCCAGTCTGAGAAGGACTGATGATTTTAAACATCTTATTCATTTATTTGAACTATTTAGACCTCCACTGTAAAGTTTATCAAGACATACCACAGAGGTTGATCATGAATTGTTTTATTAGAAACATGAATAGTATTATTCAGCTACAGTAAAGATGATAAACAGCTTTTTATCAATCTTATGTACCAGTTTTCTGAATGAACTGTTTCCAACTGACACTTTGTGAGATACATGAATCCACAGACCTAAATCAGGAGTAAAGTTCAAGTTTTTGTCTGTTTGTGTTTGCGTATGCACTTATAGATTTTTGCAGGGATTTTGCGGTTAATGATTTCTCACGTTATTTTGAATCCCTTGAAAAATGTGTGGAAAAAATATACCAAAAAAGTGAAGTAGGTGTTATAGGAAAATACTGTAATGATTGTTTTTTGCAAAATGAGTGACATACTTGATGTTGTAATTCATAATTAATGAGCGATGTGTTGTCTGTTATGTTTAATAAATCACTGTCATTTACAGCTCAAAACTGAAATAACACTGAGATGTTTACCCGATACTTTTATTCTACAAAGACATATTCATCTAAACAGCTTACGGCATTAAATGATTGTGGTGTTCAGAAGCTTTAGTCAAATTACACAACCAGTCTGCTTTTCAATGTATTAAAAATTCTGGTCCATAGGCATAAGGAGGCATGAGATTTATACTTATTCATGCCTTAGGTTAAGAGTCCATTCACAGCCCTCTTCAATACCAGACTCTCAAAAGAGGTCAAAAGAGGCTTGGGGAATTAAAACAATACTGGTGTTTGTGACTGCTTGTGCTGTTTCAGCGAACAACTCTATGTAAAACTACATCAGGGTTACCTGAGGACAAGGCCTGGTTAAGAGAGAAAGAATGGTCCTTTTGAAAAGGGTTTGAGGAGGGATAAAGCCTATTTGTTCATTTTTACCTACATAGCCTTGCCGTCCCTGGTGTGTTTGTCAGATTCTTGGAACACAGGAAACACACACTTTGGTCAACAAAAGAAAAAAAAAAAAGACCATTTCATAACCATGGCCCGAAAATATGTATCTTCCAGGAATCGGTTCTTACTTATTAGGTAACCTTTGCTTGACATAGTGGTCGAATGAAGCAGATCTTTATCTGGGGCTTTGTTGTCACGTCATTTTCCAAATAGTCCTTATGCATGGAATACAAAAAAGAAGGCATGATTTTCATTGCAAAGAAATGCAGATGACTTCATTAAAGTGTTCATTTTTTAATTCACCGGCGGAGATTTATGCTGAGTCGTGGCTATCTGGAGTTTGCTCGACTCTTTGTGTTTAAATCCACACGTAACTTAAATAATGTTTCATGAATGAGATCCATTAACAATAAGTCTCTGCTCAACTGTGGATCGGGCCACATGAAAAGAGGTAGGTTGTGGTGTTAAACAGATCGGGGTGATCTAGCAAACTACATTATTTACTTGTTTCTTAGTCCCTGTGTTTGTTTGTCTTTTCAGTGTTGGCAGTTGCACTTTGGCATATAATCTACTTATTTATCATTGCTGTAAATATGTAAACCTAATGCTCTGGAGAACTTATGGCCCTTAAGAAGTTTCCTCTACGAATACATTTGTTAGCTTACATTAGGAAAACCAATCAGGAGGTATCAGAACCTGAAATCCAAAAGAAACTGGCATCTCTTCACCTTCCTTCGTTATTAGTTTCTGAACTCCAGCTGGAAAACATGACATAGCTAATTTCATATGTCAAAGTGTATCAACCTTTTTGCTCTTTCTCAGAAGTTCTACCTAAATTGTCTGAGATTTTATCAGCTTAAATCCTAAGTATAGCGGAAGTTGTTACATAAGTGGGCTTTAATATTCATGCGGACGTCAATTATGATAGCTTAAGTATCCTAATTATCTTGTTAAGGGACTTAATTGGATTCTCTTGCTGTTTCAACCACACCCCTAACCTTGTTCCGGCTGATGGCACTGTAATTGGCTAAATACAACGGTACTTTAAAGACACTGTACTTAATTCCTGGAAAGCTTGGTCTTGTGAGAGTTGATCAAAGACTAATGACAGAGCATTTTCTTCCTTTTGGATGATCCTTAAGAAAGCAGTTGCCCACAGTTGCGTTTTTTGTGCCAAAACAAAAGTTCAGTGATCATATTTTGTCTTTGAACAGAGGACTTATTTTGTACTTCTACTTTTACAGCTGTACCTGACACAGCTGATCACTATTCTTAATGAAGACTGGAACACGTAATTGGCATCAATTAAGTGCAATGTGCTAGTTTGAAACCTTTTAGTACCTTCTATCATCTATGCACGCAAAAGATTGTCCTTGGAATCAATTATAATGAATAAACGATAAATTTTCAGGTTATGCTGACGATACTCTTCTAATCGATTTCAGTTTTCCAGAGACTAAAGCCAATATCCATCATGAGAGAGCAGGTCTGCCAATGGGAGATATATGTAATGTTGATGGCACACAGTTTTTTTATTGTATGTTTGTTTGTTTTGCATTTGACAAAATACAACAAAACTAACTGTACTAACAAAGCTGTTTAGTGTCATGTTGCTTTATGTTGATTTGTGTTAAGTTGCATTGCGTTTTGTTGTGGTTTGATACAGGATGGTATTTTGTCGATTCCTATCTCTATTAAGGATAGAAAAAGCTGGAAAACTATTTGAACACATTTCTGCTCCAAAAGTTTGAAAACAAATGGCAATGACATTGACATGACATTTGCAGATGTTTAGAGGGAAAAAAAAGTTGTGCACATGTACAAGTATGACCAAGCAGCATTGTCATTATACAATATCTGGTGTCTCAAGCCTTTTAGGTATTGAAACTAATGGAGACACTAAACACTGGGTCACTAACAGGCAACCAGATGATGCGACTGCCACTGAAAATAAAAACACAGAATTCTTCTAACCTTTGAAACCATCAGTAACACAAGAATATTTGAAGACTTAAACATACGTGGGATACCGTAAAAGTGTTAATGTAAAATGTTGAAGGCCTTCTAAAGTTTTTTAAATGACTTAAATTCATTCTTAAATTTATTTGGTCTTAGAATATAGACTTCATCTACAGAAAGGGAATGCCAATAGGCTGTATCAGGTGTCAATCATAGAAAACATGAACCCCTTAATAACTTTTAGAAATGGAGCTGCACAGAAAAAAGAGGACTTGAGCACAAACCAGTCTTATAATAACTACATGTCAACATCACAGGCAAGGGGGAGAAAAATTTATGTTCTGTGTAATAAATTTCTAAAGTTTGTCCACAGCCCCATAAGCTTTGCTGGCGGAGGCGGGATGTATGACCTATACTGCAGCCCACCATCAGAGGGTGCTGTTCTCGGAGTGGCTTCACCCAACGAAGAGGCAGACTCTGTCCATTCTTTATACAGTCTATAGGTTGGACTCAAGCTGGACACAGTGGAGGATGTGGTGAAGAGATCTACACTGAGGAAGGTGGAGTCTATTCTAAAGAACATGGATCACCCACTTCACAACACCTTGATGGACCAAAGGGCCAATGGTGGTGGACGGCTCCTCTCTCTTCACTGCAGGACAGAAAGATTCAGATGATCTTTTGTACCAACAGCCATCAGACTTTATAACTCTTCAGTAAATAGTAGATAACTTTTAGAGACATAACAAATAAGACGACAGACAATTGAATTTCCCTTCAGGGATTAATAAAGTTATTCTAATTCCTACTCTTAATTTACATCCAAATAGAAATCCAAAAAATCAGTCCTTTGTGAAATTGAAGTTAAAATTGAAGCTAAGAGGACATTGTCTCTCTGAATCTGTCGTCTTTGTGCTGCTGGTAGTTCACACATGCACACCTACAGTTCATTATTACACTCATGATTACATACACAAAACTCTATTTTCTATATCCTCTCGGGGTAAAGTTTGATATCAACATCTGTGTGCGCATGTGTGTGTTAGTGTGTGTGAAATCGCCATGACTCAGACTTTAACGAGGGGAGGGGTCAATGCATGAGGAGCACTTGCAAGAACACGTGTCACAAGATGACACAGTTAGAATTACACACAGACACACACACGCGTACAGACACACATGCACGCACATGCGCACAAACACAAAGCGACAATCCCCTGTTGTTGTCACATATTGCTGTGTCCTGATCTGTCCTTTGCTTTCTGTGGCTCCAGCTGCCCTCAGTGCTCCTAATCCAGCTCTCTCCACTCCGCTAATCCACACACACACACACACATACACAAACACACATAGCTGTACATTGCCAGTGTGAATAACCTTTTCTGTATCTCTGTGGTCGATAATAAAAACTAACCCACCCACATGAATGAAAACACACATGCAGTTGGCAAACATCCAGACCAGAGAGGCTGAGGTTGACTCTCCAGCTGGACACCACTCTGACTCTATACTGGCTGTTTTTCATACTACCTACATGAGAATCAAAACCCACGAGGAGGTCTTCACCAAAACCCCAGAGTTTGGACAGAGGAATGTGGTGGGTGAAAGGTCATTTTCAGATAGCCATGCTTGACCGCAGCTTCAAAGGAGAGAAAATGAAATTCAGCAAACCAACAGAAAAATGAGTCTGACAAGTGTACATAGCTGCAACACTGTTACTCTGCAGGAGCACTCAGTTACACAGTATTCCCCCTCAAACTGTAAAAAGCCTCTGTTGGAAGCAGAGTACTGAGCTGTCAGAGCTGCATGATGAGTTAGGACTTGAAAGTGTAGCACTTAGTTTTGTTTTTGTGTTCATCAGCTCACAAACAAACATTGATGGCAGAACAACATGTACTGGATGTGTTGGTGTGTGTGTATGTGTGTAAGACTGCACGTGCCCAGAACAGGAGAGCACACAGATGGCAGGGTGATGGATTGATCTGTGTATACTTTTACTATTTCCAAAAGTACACCAAATACACCGTGTCCCTGTGTGCTATCTATCCCTCCACCCAGCCAGTGAATGTCCTCCTCTGTATCTCTTATTAATCATGTGTTCATGTTCTATTCTGCCTGTCACTGCAGCATCAATCCACTGACAACTGCATCTGCCACTCTTTTGTGAATTATTTCTCGCTGTTACGTCAAAAATGTGTACACCCTGAGTGATGAGCTTTGTTTCCGTTTGAGAGGATTCAGATGATTTGGAGTTGTATTGCTGCACCTCTGCGTCTGCGTACACTTTCATCCATCCATCAATCCATCCATCTACGCCTGCAGCTATTCTGTCTCCTGTCAAATCCATGGTAATCTCTGCTTTCCTTTCATGTTTACATCAAAGACTGAAGCGCACATTCATGCAGATGTACAATCCATCACATTTTGGTTCTCACACGCACACACACAGACTCTCTCTCTCTCTCTCTCTCACACACACACACACACACTCTGTCTCACCCTTTCTCATCTCCCTCTGATGAGTTGCTATCCTGCTTGTTGGACATTGGCTCCATGATGCCTCAGTCCTGTCCAGCAGCCAATCACAGGACGACGAGGCGGCCCTTGACCTTGCCAGCCTGCTCAGCATTCGCCGGCAGCCCCTTCAATAGACATCCATCTGAGGATCTGGCAAGCAATTGGCTGAGAAGAACACGATGGGCGGGACATCAGTGGAAGCAAAAGAAAGCTGGAGGGGCAGAGGAAGAAGATGTGCTTAGACACAGACAAGTAGGTGCAATAAAATGATCCAAAAACGCACAGTTACTCCACATTGATGTTGTCATTTTGGTGCTTTAGATGTCACTATGCCTTTTTTCTTTTACATTTTGCAATTCTTTCAATCAGTCTAGGGTTAGACAAATGTTATCTCAAGATGTTTTATAATTAAGGCCTGTCTAGACCAAACAATATGGTAAATTATGAATAAAGATCTAACATTAACATTTAAGACTCAGTCTCATCTCATCTTGTTTCTCCATGAGTGTAGTGAAGAACACAATGTGTTATTTGCAGCATTTAGCAAGTTACAGTAGAGATGAAAAACTTAAACAGGCAGAAACCTTGAGCAGAACCAGACTCATGTTGGACAACCATCTGCAGTGTCAGCTTTGGAAAAGAGATGGACAGAGATGCAGAAAGAGATAGATGATAAGGTTGAATTACTCTGATTAAACTACCACCAAAAGTTTGAATTGACTTTTGATAAAATCTTAATATTGCTACACAGCCTAGTCTCAGATTGAAACTCTTCAAACTCGAACGTGATTCACATGTTGGATCGACTTAGCCAAAAGCCTTCCTTTATTTCTATAAATGTTAACATTAAAGCTCCTGTGGGGAATATTGTAAGGTTTATGTAGTAGACTATCATTTTTTATGGGTGTCTTGTCAAGATATTTAAGGCAACAATCAGCAAAAGGATTGAAAATATTTATATGTAAACCAGTGTAAGAAGATAGGTGTCAGTCAAGGAGCCCAAGTCACAGCTGGCAGTTTGTAGTATTTTCACGTTACGTTGAGATATTCACCATAAATTACACATTATCAAATGTCAGCTGAATGAGATTTTTGTCAAAAGCCATAACTTCAGCATGTGTCGGACAAGAAAGGCAATTAGTAGTTTTTCCAGAGGGGGCGCCAAAGCTGACATACACTAAAACGTCATAAAACCCTCTTATCTCAAATATATATATATGTCTCATTCATGATGTTTCTGAAGAAATGTTATGCCCTCCAACTCCAACATGTCTTCTTGTGAATATGAATTGTATAATTCATATTCATGGAATTTTCCTGCCTTGAGTCAACACGTAGGAGATGCAGATCTTTTCCACTTCACTCTCAGCTATGGAACTACCTCCCCCCTTTATTGATAATTAGTTTGTGAACAAAATAGTCTATAATATACACAAGAGGAATAAAACTAATTTAGGACCAAGATTCTTGACCACAACTTTGATCTTTTTCTTCAGATTTTCAATTACTAAAGGTCAGTGAGTGTAAAACTAAGGATCACTCTGGATGTCAGCAGGAATAAATCATATGCAAGTTAAAGGTAAAGCAGCCAACAGGCCACACTCTTTGACTTCCCTGATTCATTATTTCCTAATTAAATTATTGATATACTTCACAGAGATAATAAAGGCTCAGTGTTCTGTCCTCTGTTCACCACTACAATCCTGCATCTATTAGAGGAAACAGGCTGCAGCCAAATCTAATTTGCTTTAAGCTACTTACAAGTCCTCTGAAAGGAATTTAGGCTAAATTGCTCTCCACAATTTTCATGGGTGTTTTTTCAGCTTTTTATTACTCCCCCTTTTGTCCCTAAAGCTTTCAACCACAGATGTAGTCGATCAAGTAAAGGAACAATAGAGCACCTTTCAGCTTTTCTGCAAAGGTAGTTTTAAACAGGGTAAAGGTTTATTCAGAGGATCCTGTTTATGCTTTCAAAAAACATCTGCAGATGATGTTATACTGTCTATTGTCAAAGCATTAAGGGTAACCAGGAAATGGAAAAGCAGATACATAACAAAATTATCATGGCGTCAGATGAAAGAAGAGACCAGTTTTTGGTTTTTGGCTCCAGAGGTTGCTTTGCCATTGTGAGGATTTGGGGTTGCTAGCTCTGATCCATCTAACCCGTATCATAAAGATCTGTACATTTACAGGCTCAGCTAAGTAAAGCCATTGTTATAGCACGGTTACACATCTGAACTGGACTATTGTCTTGTCCCAATCCAAAAGCACGGGGATGAGAATCAATTGTGATACGCCCACTCAGCGCTATCGTACCATCTCCCAGTTGTCCTGCTTTGTCCCATACCAAAAATAATCGACAAAGATGTGTGAGTGGCTAACAGGTGGTATGTCAAATGGTAAAAACTTAGTACATAGTCTTCGTGGGAAACCGCAGGGGGTCCAGTTGGGGGAGCTGTGATGCCCATCAACAGGCTCAATACCAGCTTCTCAAAGGTTTTCATGATCACAGACGTCAGGGCAATGGGCCTGTGGTCATTTATTTGGGTGATGGAGGGTGCCTTGGGGGCTGGGATGATGATGGAGTGTTTGAAGCAGGAGAGGACTTCACACAGCTCCAGAAATCTGTTAAAGATCTGGGGGGCTAGCCGGTCAGCTCAGACTCTCAGACAGGAGGGGGACACACACCACCAGGTCCATCCTGATCTTCTGCCTCTAGCTGACACACTTCTGCTTTAGGGCTGGTAGGGGGTTGCAGTGGAGGGTGGCTAGGGGTGCAGGTAGGTTTGGACAAAGTGACTGAGTGGCCTCTCTTCAATAAATAAATTGCGACTGTTTGATTCTCTGGGCTGTCAGGTTAAATTTGTATTATTTGTTAACATTCTGGCATTTAATCAGCATAACATACGCAAGAAACTACATGTGCAAGTTCAGCCAGGACTACTTTTGCCACACATCTCCCCTCTGTTCCATGTGCACATGAAAAGCTAGGCAGGGAGAGCAGCTGCAAAGACCTCCAGGGCACAGAAGAGAGCCGACATCAGTGACAATACCTGTGACACTGGTGAAATCAAACACGGCACAAAACAGAGGAGCTGGGCTGGAGGCAGGTTAGTGTAGGAAGGAGAAAGAAAGTCTGAAGGTCTTTAAATAGAAAGCCCGGTTTCACATCTGCAGAAAGGATGCATGGATGGTAGTGGCAAAGCTATCAGCTGATGTGGGCTGGGTTTGGATCAGCTGAGCTTTAGTGCTTGAAATATTAATGGCATCACTGCTATCTGGGAGTGAAAAAAACATAGCTAATTATAGTGGTGCCACCTAGTGGTATGTTCTGTCTAAAGCTGAGTTCAAGAGTTCAAAAAGTGGAGCCATCCTGCAGTTGTAAAATACTGCAGTTCCTTCAGTGTCCACTTGAGACTGGCTCCAAAAGTCAAGGAAGACCCTTTGGGTTTCATGTTAAAACGCTCAACTTCACAGCAGAGTCAAACATGTTCACAGCCTGAATAACAAAAAAAGAGTTTCAGTCCTACTTATTTTTTTGCTCATTCACTCTGCACAGGTGTGAATTTGTGAATAACTTGTTTAAAAAAGATGATACGAACTAACTCTGAGTTCACATTGAACTACATAATACTGAATACTGTTTACTAGGAGTTGGGCTGACCGGGGCATAACAGATATGTATGATTTCTGCAAAGTACTGAAACTGGAGGGGTGAAATCCGTTACTTACTAATACAGCCGACAGAGATTTTTTTAGCTAGCATGAGAATAAAACAGAAAAAAAATAAATAAATATGGCCACTCTTTTCAACAAATGCCTTTCATAATCAAACAATCCTAGTGGGTGCAATGAGCTGCTCAATGTAATGCAGTACAATGTGAAAAGGTCTAAGGGTATTCTCACTTCAATGACAATGAAATAAATTCACAGCAGTTAAGTCTAAAACATGTGTCAGGAAGAGTCTAGGTACCTGCACATATCAGAAAATATATGCAACTACTCTCCTTGTCTGTCAAAGGCCCAAAGCACCTGATAATGTGGGCTGACAGATTGGAGGTCAGCCTCTAAAGCAGTAATGGCTGACAAGCTTCAAAAATGCCCCAGCTGTAAGAACCTGATAACTCTTTGTGATGCTTGTTTTAAGTAGAAGTATACCATCCCTTATATATAAATATAAAAAAAAGCTGGCACTTTTATGATTAATGAAACCACAACCTCAGTTCATGTCCTGGAACACTTCAGGTGTATGCAATTAGCATGCGAGGTGCAGAGTGTGCCAGATGAGGGCACCAGAGTCACCATAACACCGGTGTTCTGGATATACATATGACCTGAGCTGACCTGGTCCCTGTACAGAGCCAGGCTGTTCTTACACCATGCAGTGTGACCAGAAAACTGGAACAAAGTTGTTTGTGATGAGCTGCTGTTTATCTCAATTCATACTGTTTCTGATGTAAACCCAAAGATTATCATGCATTTTTGCGCTTTAACAACACAACTCTTTCCCATCATATTTAAAAAAAAGTGATATGAATAATGCAATTGAACTCAAAAAGGACAGACTGTAATGGTTCAGAGAGGCTAGCAGGGTCAAATCATGTCACATGTGACTTGACATAAATAGACATCAACCCTACCAAATTAAATTTTGGGATCACTGTAGAGTTTGTGTTTACAAGGCCAAAAATATATATATTTAGATATCATTCTTGCCTTTTTTTCACAACAACCCCTCTTTTTAAAAACCAATCAATATCATTTAAAGCGTGGGTTTAATAGTAAAAAACTAGAGAAAACTGTGTGTTGGAAAAACTCTGAGGTGGTCTTGGTCAACGATCGTTTCCATTAAGGATGGAGATAACTTCAATGTTATTATTTCATCAGTGGAAAAGTGGCATCAGTGGCTAAATCAAAATTTTCTGATCTGCTGTTTGATATTCAGATCAAAATAAAATCATAAAATAGTTAAGCTGAAAGAAATTAAAGAGAGTATTGGATGGATGTATTTTAAATGTAAAAAAAATAATAATTTGAA